CAGTGACTGTGCGGGTGGACCCAAACGAAAAGGGAGACGGGGAGAAGGGTTCAAGGAAACAGGATTTATTAGGGAAGGTGGTGGAGTGATGGGCAGTGTTCAGGTAGTATGAGCCCCTCACCACACCTCAATTCTGCACCACATAGCCTGTCACCCACAACCATTTCCTCCTTAAACCACTGCATTGAGAACATGAGAGAAAAGTGCAATTAAAACTTATTTTACTCAATCAATATTTCACAATCATGAGTAACTTTTACTTGTATGGCGGTAGATTCCTGTATTTAAATACCTTGAAGGAAATGGAAATGCCAAGACAGTGCATTTATGGAATAATGAGGTAGGCTCAAGTACTGTCAGCTTAAGTGTTTCATTAAATGCTGCCATTATAGATTTGACCTGTAACTGTCTTTATTTTGTCTTGACCTGTTTGTGATTAATGTATAAAAGCACCATCAACTTCACTGTCCCTCCTTTGAGCCTATGAAACAGTTCACATCAGACTTCAGGGAGCTTAAACGCTCTTCTCAGCAACAATAACACTGAAAAAAAAGAACTTCTTTGTCACATCTCTTTATTTTTTGCAACAGTTTGAATGTGTATCACAATTTTAACACAGGACAGCAGTTTTGAACTATCACCTAAAAAGGATGAGCTCGTTTTTGTTTTTTGTTTTTTTTACTGCTATTGTATTGCACAAATTACCTTCTTTAGTCTGACATTTTCATTTAATATTAAAATCCAGATCATTACACCGAAACTAAACATGGAAACAAAAAACAGCAAGTAAAAATTCCCTGAAGTACGGTGGCCGCGGTTTTGTTTGTTGTGTGGTCGGTCTTTAGAATTTTTAAGGGGCATGGACCAGAAAACCGCGTTAATCGGCTCATGTGTGCAACAAAACAGGCAAAGCATCATTCGGTCGCTGTCCATCTTGGGTCACCATGAGCTCCATAAATGACAACAACTCTTATTGGTCACTCCCCGCTACAACTTTCGGTTCAGTCCCAGAGTTGGCACATTCCCTTTCCGGTTGATTTTACTTGTAGAAGTATTTTGGGAGTTTGTCAAAGTGTTTCGCCACTTGTAAATTTGTTTTGCACTTCCCGGCCACCCTACTGAAGCCATCACTCTTCGAAATGATGTTAATGCTCCTGGAAAATGTATTTACCCCGACGAGGTTTTAACACCCCTTTCCCGCCTCCACACACCTTTTTTGGTTAAGTTGTGTAACTGGAAAATCATTCTAAATTTCTTACAATACATGGTACTTTGCATAATCTGGAAAAAGTACAAACAAAGTGCTTCCATTTGTTGAAATCTCAAAATCACACAGGATTCAAACTGTACATGTAAGGCATTCGGCTGACTTAACAGTGGATAATTATTTTTAAAAAATGATAGAGGAGAAGAGATGTGATTGTTTTAGAGCTCGCTGTGCTCTACTTTCTCATTATGTCGTCGCATCTCCTCTTGGAGGGTCTGAGTCAAAAAAACAAACCGGTCCTTCTTCAGGGCTCGACCAACTACCTGCTCCTTTAAACCAATTGCCAGATACTCCTCTTCTGTTCCATACTTTGGCCAATGGGCAAGGCCATCCCCGTTAGGAGACCTGCACACACATATACACATTTATAAACTAGTTGGTGTTATCTCCATGTGTACTATCACTTATAAAGAGCAGTAATTCCTACCCTGTGCGAGCAAAGTTGCCCCAGTAGCTCATCACGGTTTTGCTCAGCTGCCTCTCCTCTTCAGTGCATGAATCTGAAGTGATGATAATCTGGTAAAACATTTTGTACTCCAGAAATCACAAACACAGCCGAAGTATCTGGTGCTCTGTTGGACTTACCGGTTAATTTGACATGGGTAGTTGTGAAGCAGAATCCTAACACGCCAAAGATTTCATCTCCATGGTCACTTCCAACAAAGCTAGGCCTTTTTTTCTGCAGCATACTGGGAGGATGCTGGTACTCATACAGGTATACAGTGGCGCCTGCGTCTGGTAGACAAATAGGTGTGACATTTAACATGTGTGACTGTAAATATTAAATACTGCTTCTTAGATTTGCAGAATCTTGTATAAAACAATACCTCTGTGAGCATTTGCAGCTATAATGGCTGGAATGTTAAAGATAAAATCTCCAATCATCTCAGTCAATCCATCTCTGTTTTTCACACGGTCTTCACCACTTCCAATGTATTCATCTATTATCAGATCTTTCTTGACTGCACCTTTGGGCTTGAAAAAATGAACAACACATCTGTCAAAGAAGCTTGAACATGTTGAGGAACAGACATATTCTAACATCAGGCAGCGTCTGTCTTACATCAGAATAGAAGACGGACAGCACGTTCGTGACCTGCTCCCGATCAATTCCTTCTGTCCAGTTTGGAGGAGCAAAGAACTAAAGAAAGACAGCAAGACAGATTTAACATTTGCACACAAGCAAAGCAAAACCAAAATTTTGATGAACTGGAGATCAGTAAGCTCTTCATTCACTCAAAATCTTGTACTTACATTAGTAAGCATCCATCCTCCTTCATCATCATTAACACCAGTCATGAATGGTAGAGTGAGAAGTTCACGTTTATGGAGCAGCTCATCTGCAGTTTTCGTCAGGAAGTGTCCATCAGCGCATATGAAAATTCTCAATTGTTCATTCTTGAGAGAAAAAAGTGTTTAAAAATTAACACAGAATCGAAATAGTTCATGAAAAGGGAAATAATCCACAGAAATGGTGCAGAAGCCTTCAGGTTCACATTCAGTTAATCTGTTGTCAACAATCTATATCAGTTTTGCACACAGTATCTCACCTCCCCAATAGCCACTATCGTGTCAATATCAAGGTTTCTCATGCAATCCCCAATCTTCTCTGTGCTTTCAATGCTACAGCCAGATGCATTTGCAACCATCTGAGGGGAGATGTGAAGAATCAATGTCAACAATTTAGAAAAACAAATATGTTATGACATTGTCAATAATGTACACACAAAAAAAGAAGAAGCACAGTGTTTATTAACCTGCGTCATTGGCAGAGGATTATCTGACACAAGTTAATCCATTGCAGCTGTGCCGCTCTCAGCAATGGCATGGTGGAACAGGCCATCAGACAATGGTGAGAGGAGCTGTTAGAACAAATAGAATTTACTTGCAAATACATAACTGCACAATCTGTAAAAATGAATTTAAAAAATACAAAAATACGATATCTGCAAATTGATTCTTACCAGGAGAGATACACTCACTCCACCAGCTGACTCCCCAAATATGGTCACTAAATCTGGGTTTCCTCCAAAGTTGTGAATGTGCTGCTGGACCCACCTCAGAGCTTCTACCTGATCCAGCAGCCCAAAGTTCCCTGGTACATGTTCATCTCCAGTGCTGGATAGAACATAGAGTTAGAGTCGACCAGATCATGTTTACAGCAGACAGCGCAACAGAGTTAACTCTGAATTGGTGCTACCATGTGGCACAAATCACATTGACAGCAGCAAAGGATAGCCATGGTATATACTAGCTGTGCATATGTACCAATTTGAGTCTATTTACCTGAGAAAACCCAGATGTCCCAAACGATACTGGATCATAACCACGACCACATCCTGGTAAGCAGCCAGAGCAGAACCATCATAGACTGAAGCTCCACCTATAGTGAAGCCCCCACCATGGATCCAGACCATCACCTAATAAAGTAATGAAAGGGGGGAAAAGGACAGCTTGATTTCATTCTAACAAAAAATAGAATATCAGTTTTAGTTTAGAGGGAAGCTCATTGTAATCTGGGTTTAAATATTGGTATCACTTAGGACCTGCACCAAAGAGTTCTTACTGGGAGCTTGGTATCTTTAGCTCTGGTTGCTGGAGTGTAAATGTTCAGGTAAAGACAGTCTTCTGAAATGTCTGGAACATCTGCAAGCTCGGCACCAATCATTTCAAGCAGATCCAAACTCATCTTTATATTTTGAATGCACCTGGAAAAAAAATGACATTTTTATAAATCAATATTGGACGTAATTCCTCCAAGTGTGGTGTTCAAACACTGCAGCACATGTGTCTTACATGTTTGGCTGCTTGGTGGCGTCTCTCACTCCTTTCCATCCCTCTACAGGC